CAGTTTTGCCTTGAAGAATGGGCAAAAATCGCAGTGGCTAGATGTGCCAAGCTTATAGAGACATACCCCAAGAGACTTGCAGCTGTAATTGCTGCAAAAGGTGGCTCTACAAAGTATTGACTTTGGGGGGATTAATAGTTATGCACGCTCCGATTTTCAGTTTTTTGTCTTATTTCTTGTCTGTTTCACAATAAAACATATTTTGCATCTTCAAAGTGGTAGTCATGTTGTGTAAATCAAATGATACAAACCCCACCCAAAATCAATTTTAATTCCAGGTTGTACGGCAACAAAATAGGAAAAATGCCAAGGGGGGTGAATACTTTCGCAAGCCACTGTATAGAGAGACAGAATAGAGAGAAAATAGAGAGAAAGAGTGAGAGAGGTGGTTAAAGAGAGGTGATTTTCTGCTCTGTAGTTCCCTTTCAAAGAGGATCAGAAGGACAAAGACCTTGAGAGACCTGGTAATAACAGGTAGATGAGGGGAGGAAGGGGAGAGGGAGAGAGAGAGAGGGAGGGAGGGAGGGAGGGAGGGAGGGAGAGAGAGGGAGGGAGGGACAGAGAGGGGGAGAGGGGAGAGAGGGAGGGAGGGACAGAAGGAGAAAGAGGGAGGGAGGGACAGAGGGAGAAAGAGGGAGGGAGGGACAGAGGGAGGGAGAGGGGAGAGTGAAACAGACAAAGGGGTTGGTGTAATCACTGTACAGTTTAAATAACAGACAGAGAAAGTCTTTGAGGAGTCAGTGCACTCGCAACTGTGTGTATAATATCAGTGTGTGTGTGTAAACGTGTGTAATGTGTGTGTGTGTTGGTGTGTGTGTCTCCCCAGGCGTCCCCGGCTGCGCTAGCTAAGAGTGTGTTAGCAGAGGTGCCCAATCAGGTGGTGGATTACTACAATGCCAAAGGAATCCATCCCAAATGTCTGTCTGACTACGACGAATCTACCAGACCCTTCAGCCCCTGACCACACACATACACACACATTAAACACACACACATTAAACACACACACATACACACACGTTATAAACATAAACTAATACACACTCACACATACACACACACCCTGGATACAGTAGTGTAGCTCAGAGAAGTAGTTTGATCTGGTGGGTTTAACTACATAGTGTATTACTGCATGCTGGCCCAATGGGTTTTATATCTTACAAAGTCATTATTTCACATATTCTGTGTGTATATACATAACACACATACCCACAAACAGACACACTTGTAGACGCACACCACCTTTTAAACGTGACTTTTAAGATTTTGAACAATATTACATACAGCATAGGCTAAATAGAGATTAGTAAGAGTCTTACCTTATAATACAGTATTACTCCATTGTTTAGGGTTTTGACAACATAGAAGACTTTGTAAACAAATCATGTATAGCTTCAAATCATGTTTAGAGTAACGTTGCTCTCATGGAATGTCATTCCTTCAGCACTAATGATATATTTCATATAAACTGAAATGATATTTGCATGTAAAAATGTCATTGGATGAATGTTCTCTGTTGTTTACGTTATTGTTGGTGGCCAACTCTTTGATGGTATGCACATCTTACAGAGTGTGGCTTTTAAGGGGTTAGGGTTATATACTGTAAGCTGTGTTATATACTTCCTTTTCTACAAGTTTGTTGAGAGTTTGCTAAATAAATAGATAACTACAATTGTAGTAATTTCATAACCTTCTTTATTAACTTGTAAGTCATTTGAGTGAATAGCTCTGTCTGTGTGTGTGTGTGTGTGTGTGTGTGTGTGTGTGTGTGTGTGTGTGTGTGTGTATGTGCATGTGCTGATGTTTCTGTGGATTAGGCTCTTTACTGTATTACAAACCAGATCACATCATGTACTACTGTTTCCCAGATGCCCTTGTCTCTGTGTGACTGTGTCTGTTTATCTGTCTGTCTGTTTATCTGTCTGTCTGTCTGTTTATCTGTCTCTCTGTCTGTCTGTTTATCTGTCTGTCTGTCTGTTTATCTGTCTCTCTGTCCATCTGTTTATCTCTCTGTCTGTCTGTTTATCTGTTTGTTTATCTGTCTGTCTGTCTGTCTATCTGTATGTCTGTTTATCTGTCTGTCTGTCTGTTTATCTGTCTGTCTTTCTGTCTATCTGTCTGTCTGTTTATCTGTCTGTCTGTCTTTCTGTCTATCTGTCTGTGCAGTACTGCTTGCAGTGCTGACTATAGCCTGATATACAAACCATACACACATACACGAGTCTGCTTCCCATGGTTATTTATCAGACGCTCATCTTCATACAAACCACAAGGACAAACTCAACGCATCAGAACACTGGGAATAATCCCCATTCCGACTGGCATCATCAGTATTCCGAACACGGACAACGATTTCTCCAATTCCGCTCTCTCAGGAACTTGAGCTCTCTGGGATGGAGGGAGTGGATGAGGTGGAAAGAGGGAGGAGGAGAAGAGTAGGAGGATGTTCTGTACAACTCAGCCATATGCTTTGGGCACCTAGCATATGGTCTCCTGAGTGGCGCAGTGGTCTAAGGCACTGCATCGCAGTGCTAACTGTGCCACTAGAGATCCTGGTTCGAATCCAGGCTCTGTCGCAGCCGACCGGGAGACTCATGGGTGGCGCACAATTGGCCCAGCGTCGTCCAGGGTAGGGGAGGGAATGGCCGGCAGGGATGTAGCTCAGTTGATAGAGCATGGCGTTTGCAACGCCAGGGTTGTGGGTTTGATTCCCACGGGGGGCCAGTATACAAAATAAAATAAAAATATTCACTAACTGTAAGTCGCTCTGGATAAGAGCATCTGCTAAATGACGTAAATGTAAAATGGGAAGCAGGAAGATGTGAGGGGGAGCTCCTGTAGGTTTTGTGCCCCGTTCCAAACTCATCACTAAGACCTTACTTCATCCATCATCAACTAGCCATCTCTGTCAAACATCAAACCCACTGGCTCACAAGTATCTAAACATCTCTTTTCAGCAAGACCCCCTTTGCAAATCAGAGTTTGTTGATAAGACTTACCACTGACTGGACACCTGTAGTAAAAAAAAAAATGAAGTTCACAATGTAACTCGAAAAAGGCAATAAATATTCCTAACCATGTCTTGGTACCGTGGTGTATGAGTGTATAATGTTTACATTTTTCTCCATAATGTTGATTTGAAGACACTGAATCATTCCAATCGATGAAGCGGAACTACAGTTCGGAGCACTAGCGGAATTATTTCCTAGCCGTACCGGAAACGCTCAGGGTGACATTTCACAGCAGGGCACAGGCATGAAGCTATGGGATTGCTGCTAAGTTGATGCCTTTTTCCACATTGGAGTTTATATATATTTTATCGGTAACGTTAGCCTTGTGAGTGTAATAATAACGGAATGGCTGCGTGGACCTGCCGAGTTCTTCTCTACAGAGGAGCACGTGTGCTAGCTGGACGAACCGGAGCGGTAGCAGCCGACAGGTAACGTTGACACACTAGCTAAGCTAGCTATCTAACTAACGTTACCTGTAGGCTCTACTTTAGCTAACGATACTGTAGTTCTTGTGACCGATAGTTAGCGAACTACTGCAGTTTTGGTGACAGACTGCTAACTAGCTGGCTACTAGCTACTGTAGTTTTAGTCAATTAGTTAGCTAACTTTATAATTCTAGATAGTCAGTACTGTAACTTAGGTTTGGGACACTACATCGGGACTCCCAATGTTGTGTCCCAAACCTAAATAGTCAGCTGATGTGACAGCCAACAGTGCCACTGCCTACGGAATGCCAAGTGAAACTAGTTCACTCAAATTACTTAAATTGTTAACGTTAGCTACCTTGGAAGTAGTTTATGGACAATAATCCGCTTTGGGTTTATCTAGCTACCTAGCTAGCCACTATCCAACTGCTATCTCTTACCCCTTTCTAACCAAAACCAATGAAAGTCAATGCACCCCAACTGTATCATACCTTAATCATCTCTTTCTCTGTCTACAGCTGTCTCTTTCAGAGTGTTCGGACAGTGAAGACTACAACATGGTGGGAGGAGCATCTGACAGAGGATAATAAATCATATATGAGGTTGGTCGTGTGTGTATTCCACCAATACACCGGAAGTACTGTAGAATATATGCAATATAAGTATTGAATGAATTGTGTTCTCGCATGTTTTCCAGGAAGAGTCTGGGAGAGGAGTATAATCGACAGATAGCTGCTAAGCTCCACCCACTGAAGGATGAGCCCTGGCCCAGACAAGAATGGACAGAGGGTGTGTGTGTTCACTGTGTGTTCACTTTGTGTGGTGTGTGAGAGTTGTTGGTTTTCGTTTGTGCTTGGGTGGGTGGGAGTATTAATGTGTGTGTTCATCCAGAGAGTCGGCGGGTAGGGCTGGTTGCAGTGAAGTTGGGCATGGCCCCAGTCTGGACCAAAACAGGAGAGAGACACGTGGTGACCATGCTACAGGTAACACACATACGTACACACGACACCACACACACATGTTCACAATCTCTCACACACATGCAAAAACACACAGTCAAACAAAAGTCACAGGTGGTGGTGTGTGTTGAAGGTGCAGGATTGCCATGTGTTGAAGTACCTGTCTAAAGAGGAGTACGATGGACACACTGCCGCCCTGGTGGTGGGAGGGAAGAACGCATCGCCCTTCTACGTAAGTTTAATGGCACACTGTTACACTGTAAGCCATACTGTATAAAGTAGTTCATTTACCCTTTCTCTCTCTCTGTGTCACACCCTCTGTCTCCTTTTTCTTTCTCCTTCTCACTCTCTCTCCCGCTTCTCTCTCTCACTCTCCCCTGTAGAAGACAGATGAAGAGATGGAGATGTTTAGGTTGGCCGGAGTTCCTCCCAAACAGAAAGTCACCACCTTTAAAGTCTCTGACAATGCTATCATCAAACCAGGTATATACACACACTATATAAACACAGACTATACGAACACACACACACATTATAAACACACACCACCATCATCAAACCAGGTACACACCAAATCAAATTGTATTGGTCACATACACGTGTTTAGCAGCTGTTATTGCGGGTGTAGAGAAATGCTTGTGCTTCTAGCTCCGACAGTGCAGTAATATCTAACAAGTAATATCTAACAATTTCACAACATATACCCAATACACACAAATCTAAGTAAGGAATGGAATTAAGAATATATACATATATGGACGAGCGATGTCAGAGCGGCATGGACTAAGATACAGTAGAATAGTATAGAATACAGTATATACATATGAGATGAGTAATGCAAGAGATGTAAACATTATTAAAGTGACTAGTGTTCCATTTCTTAAAGTGGCCAGTGATTTCTAGTCTATGTCTATAGGCAGCAGCCTCTAATGTGCTAGTGATGGCTGTTTAACAGTCTGATGGCCTTGAGATTGAAAAAAGCTTCTATCTCTCGGTCCCAGCTTTGATGCACCTGTACTGACCTCGCCTTCTGGATGATAACGAAGTGAACAGGCAGTGGCTCGGGTGGTTGTTGTCCTTGATTATCTTTTTGGCCTTCCTGTGACATCGGGTGCTGTAGGTGTCCTGGAGGGCTGGTAGTTTGCCCCCGGTAATGCGTTGGGCAGACTGCACCACCCTCTGGAGAGCCTTGCGGTTGCGGGCGGTGCAGTTGCCGTACCAGGCGGTGATCCAGCCCGACAGGATGCTCTCAATTGTGCATCTGTAAAAGTTTGTGAGGGTTTTATGTGCCAAGCCACATTTCTTCAGCCTCCAGAGGTTGAAGATGCTCTGTTGCGCCTTCTTCACCACACTGTCTGTGTGGGTGGTCCATTTCAGTTTGTCAGTGATGTGTACGCCAAGGAACTTGAAGCTTTCCACCTTCTCCACTGCAGTCCCGTCAATGTGGATAGGGGGGTGCACCCTCTGCTGTTTCCTGAAGTCCACGATCATCTCCTTTGTTTTGTTGACGTTGAGTGAGAGGTTATTTTCCTGGCACCACACTCCCAGAGCCCTCACCTCCTCCCTGTAGGCTGTCTCGTCATTGTTGGTAATCAAGCCTACTAATGTTGTGTCGTCTGCAAACTTGATGATTGAGTTGAAGGCGTGCTTGGCCACACAGTCATGGGTGAGCAGGGAGTACAGGAGTGGGCTGAGTACACACCCTTGTGGGGCCCCACCTGGGGGGCGGCCCGTCAGGAAGTCCAGGACCCAGTTGCACAGGGCGGGGTTCAGACCCAGGGCCTCAAGCTTAATGATGATCTTGGAGGGTACTATGGTGTTGAATGCTGAGCTATAGTCAATGAACAGCATTCTGTGATGGCGATTGCATCGTCTGTGGATCTATTGGGGCGGTAAACAAATTGAAGTGGGCCTAGGGTGGCAGGTAAGGTAGAGGTGATATGATCCTTGACTAGTCTGTCAAAGCACTTCATGATGACAGAGGTGAGTGCTACGGGGCGATAGTCATTTAGTTCAGTTACCTTTGCTTTCTTGGGTACAGGAACAATGGTGGCCATCTTGAAGCATGTGGGAACAGCAGACTGGGATAGGGAGAGATTGATTATGTCCATAAACACACCAGCCAGCTGGTCTGTGCATGCTCTGAGGACGCGGCTAGGGATGCCGTCTGGGCCGGCAGCCTTGCGAGGGTTAACACATTTAAACGTCAGCCACGGAGAAGGAGAGCCCACGGTCCTTGGTAGCGGACCGCGTCGGTGGCACTGTGTTATCCTCAAAGCGGGCGAAGAAGGTGTTTAGCTTGTCCGGGAGCAAGATGTTGGTGTCAGCAACGTGGCTGGTTTTCCTTTTGTAGTCTGAGATTGTCTGTAGACCCTGCCACATACGTCTCGTGTCTGAGCCGTTGAATTGCGACTCCACTTTATCGTGATACTGACGTTTTGCCTAATTGATTGCCTTATGGAGTGAATAACTACACTGTTTGTGTTCTGCCATATTCCCAGTCACCTTGCCATGGTTAAATGCAGTGGTTCGTGCTTTCAGTTTCGCTGCCATCTATCCACGGTTTCTGATTTTAGTAGTTCAGTGGGTATGGCATCTCCTATACACTTCCCGATAAACAAAATGTTTGCAAGCTACCCGGAACATATCCCAGTCTGCGTGATCAAAACAATCCTGAAGCGTGGTGAGGAAGATGGAGAGGGGAAGATGGCTCATAATAATGGCAGGAATATATGGAAAACATGTTTGATACCATTCTACTCACGCTGCTTGTGGTCCACACACACACTCACACCATATACACACACACAGACTATACGAAAACACACACACACATTATAAACACACTGCCATCATCAAACTAGGTACAGAATCCAACTACACTGTATAACCCTATCCCTCTCTCTCCGTGTGTGTCCACTCCAGGCACTCCTCTCTATGCAGCACACTTCCGTCCAGGACAATATGTAGATGTTACAGCCAAAACGTGAGTTATGTCTCCCCGCCCTCATCTCTGTCTCTGGAGAATTGTTCAATTTCTATGTTCTATTTCTAGAATTATTTTTTGTTCTCAAGTGTGTGTGTGTGTGTAGTATTGGTAAGGGTTTTCAGGGGGTGATGAAGCGGTATGGGTTTAAAGGTCAGCCAGCGTCTCACGGCCAGACCAAAACACACCGCAGACCTGGAGCCTCGGGACCTGGAGGGGTAAGACACACACCATAGTTGACTGTTTAAATGTTTGGGGGAAAATAAATACATCTAAATAAATATGTAATATCTTATTCACATACACGCACTCACACACTTAAACACTTGTCTCTCTTCAGGATCCAGCCAAAGTCTTCAAAGGGAAGAAGATGCCAGGCATGATGGGAAATGTGTTTGACACTGCCCACGGCCTTAAGGTACGCACCCCCTCAACCCACACACATACACTCTGAGTCCATGTAAGCACCTTTGTGGATAATCGGAGCAGTGTGAAAAACAGAGCTTGTACTCTCTTTAGTAGTCCCATTCTGAGTGCTTGCCAAAACCCTTTATCTAACTGGTCCACAACACCCAAAAGCAATATCTTGCACAAACGTCCGACTCTATTCTCTCTCTCTCTAGGTATGGAGAGTTAACACTAGGTATAATGTTATCTATGTTCACGGCTCCGTCCCTGGCCACAAGAACTGCTTACTGAAGGTAAGACACACGTTTGTCCATCACAGCCAGACTTACCATGCTCCTAGGTGCTCTTCTATTGGTCTGGCAGATAAAGTTACTGACCTTTTGTTTATCCAATCATATGGTTTTATAAAGTTACTGACATGTTTATCCATTCATATGGTTTTATAGTTACTGACATGCTGTTTACCCAATCATATGGTTTTATAGTTACTGACATGTTGTTTACCCAATCATATGGTTTTATAGTTACTGACATGTTGTTTACCCAATCATATGGTTTTATAGTTACTGACATGTTGTTTATCCAATCATATGGTTTTATAGTAACTGACATGTTGTTTATCCAATCATATGGTTTTATAGTAACTGACATGTTGTTTATCCAATCATATGGTTTTATAGTTACTGACATCAGTGGAGGCTGCTGAGGGGAGGACGGCTCATAATAATGGCTGGAACGAGCTCCTGAGTGGCGCAGTGGTCTAAGGCACTGCATTGCAGTGCTAACTGTGCCACTAGAGATCCTGGTTCGAATCCAGGCTCTGTCGCAGCCGGCCGCGACCGGGAGACTCATGGGCGGCGCACAATTGGCCCAGCGTCGTCCAGGGTAGGGGAGGGAATGGCCGGCAGGGATGTAGCTCAGTTGATAGAGCATGGCGTTTGCAACGCCAGGGTTGTGGGTTCGTTTCCCATGGGGGGCCAGTATAAAAAAAATAATTATTCACTAACTGTAAGTCGCTCTGGATAAGAGCGTCTGCTAAATGACTAAAATGTAAATGTAAAATGAATGGAATGGCATCAGACACATGGAAACCATGGAAACCATATGTTTGATGTTGAAAGCGTTCCACCTATTTCACTCCAGGCATTACCACGTGCCAGTCCTCCCCAATTAAGGTGCCCCCAACCTCCTGTGACTGGCATGTTTGTCCAATCATATGGTTTTATAGTTACTGACATGTTGTTTATCCAATCATATGGTTTTATAGTTACTGACCATGTTGTTTGTCCAATCATATGGTTTTATAAAGTTACTGACATGTTGTTTATCCAATCATATGGTTTTATAGTTACTGACCATGTTGTTTGTCCAATCATATGGTTTTATAAAGTTACTGACATGTTGTTTGTCCAATCATATGGTTTAGGTGAGGGACTCTAACCTACCGACTTCTGTGGAGAAGAACATCAACCCTCCGTTTCCAACGTTCTTCTGTGAGGAGGACGAACAGCTGCCTGAAGACCTGTACGATGAAGACATGTTCATACACACACAGCCCTCACTCACACTCTAACGCACACACACACACACAGCCCTCACTCACACTCTAACGCACACACACACACACACAGAGAGCCCTAACGCTTACACACAGACATACACATAATCTCATCTCATTGTTATGGTGACCAACTGTGACATGTAGGGTTAACAGTCAACTATTTAAATGTTTTCTAGCCACACCCCTCTGTAGTCATGATTTCATATTGTGTCTGGGACATTAAACATCCTTTCCTGGAAATAAGTTTCCTTTTCATTATTTATCTTCTCTCTCTCTCTTTTCCTCTCTGTCACTCTTTCACTCTAATGATCAGAGTTCAGTCATCCCTGTTTCCAAAACCATGGTAACCAGAGGAGTGATGTAAGGGTCCCCCAGAGGGACAAACTGAACAGAAGAACCAGGAGAGAGGGAGAGAGAGACAGGGAGATGGAGGGAGGGTCGGGAAGCTGACAGATGGAGAGAGGCAGGGAGGGAGAAGATTGGACAGAGGGAGGGCTGCAGAATCACAAAGGCTGACATTTGTGTGTGGGAATGGGGGATAAACGAGAGGAAGATGACAGGCGGGGAGGAGGGTGACAGGCAGGGAGCACGAGAGGAAGAGAGGAGGGGGGATAAATGAGGACATTAATGTTGCAGCAGAACCGCTGAGAGATACGCAGAGAGAATATGGGGGGTTAGTGGCTGGTGTGTTGAAGACACTATAGAATAGGGTTTATGAAAACTGTCAATGTTGTTATTCTAAATGACTCCTATGAGAGATCTCTCCTTTTCTACCTTTCACCCTCTCTCTGTTTTATGTCAACATGATTATGTTCTGGAGTTTTATTAACAGCAATGATTTCCCCATGATGTCCTGGAACACTGACACACACACAGAGCCTCTGAAACAGGAATGTTACCATTAGAAATGTCTGTTCTAATTATTCTGCACAACAGGCCTCCCCCACATCTCTATCTATCCCCCCATCCATCTCTCTCCCACCTCATCTTCCTGCCTCTTTTCCTCTCTCCCCCTCCTCTCTCCTTTTTCCCTCTAGTTCTCTTAGCCTCTCTGCTTGGCGTTAATGGGACAGACATTCCTTTTAAAGTGTGTGTGTGTGTGTACACTGCAGACAGAGAGAAGCTGCACTGCACCATTACTGCAGAGCATCCGGCTACTGTACTACAGATAGACACTCTATAATAGATCATCTATATGACACTATAATATCTACATCTAAGTACATGATACTCTATGACGTAGTTTACAGCTGCTACTAGCATGCGGCCTGTGGTCATATCATGTCCACAATCGTTTATATCAGGTGTTATCAGAAGGGTGTGCATGGGCACCCCGTGTGTGTGACCGTCTTGATGGATGTAGTCTGATTCTGCTGCCTCCACATTATGGATATTGTATTTCGATTACTGAAACACTTGCACTCTACACACACACTAATGATGACTTGGTTAGCAGGTAGTAGATTAAGTGTTTGTGATTGGCTGATGCTGAGACATCAGCTGTTCGGCCAAAACAGCACTTTCCCCGAGTTTACCGATTTGCTTCTATCTCCCTAGACACACACGCGTGCACATAAGTGAACTTCAGCTACGCCGTGTGTGTGTGTGGAGAGCGCTGTGTGATATTAATAATTGAGTGTGTTATTTGAAGGAAGCAGCTTCTCTACATTAACCCTCGGTCACCCCACCACACTGACAGTCTGTCTGTATGATACACGCACACACACATACGCATGACACAGATAAGAGCGGGATGAGCAGCTGCTCAACATTAACCCTTAACATCACCAGTGAGACTGACAGAACCATAATCATGGATGACGAGGAGTAGCATGAAACCTCTGACCTCAATCCTCCCGACTAGAACTATTCTGTGGTTAATCATTCAACCTTGATTCAATTCAATGCACCTTTATTCATCCCTCATGAGCAATAAGGTGGGCAGGACACAAGCAGTAACCTGGCAACTCTTTCCATCCCTTCTCTCTCTTCCTCTCTCTTTAGCTCAGCTAAAGGCTTTTGTGATAGGTTAAATAGCTTTCCTTTCAGGCCAGGGAGAGAAATGTCATCCCTGTGTCTGTGCTAACATTCTCTTTCTCTCTGTCTCACTCTCTCACACACACACACACTCAGCATGGCACAGCAAGCATACTCTATGTCACATTAACCTGATCTCGAGGGCCTCTGGGCCAGACGAAGAGAGTGCTGACTTCACTTCCCTTAACACCTCTCTCTTTCTTTCTCTCCCTATCTCTCGCTCTCGCTCCCCTCTTTCACTATCTCTGCTTTCTCCCACTGCCCCACCCCCACCCTCTCCCTTGTATTGATTGGTTGAAATCCCAGGGTTGACTTCCTGTTGTGATGGTTTCCGTGACACCCTGAAAACGATTGACATTTATTTACCCCGGAATCACAATCAACACACACATATACACCCCGGTGGCACCACGTCTCTCCCAGTTTGGGTACCGGTAGCACTGCTGGAGGCTGACTGAAGGAACCCCTTCTCTACCACACACCTGCATCCTTCTCTCACACACATGCACACACTCACAAATGCACACACACATTCCTGCATGTGCACACACACGAACATGCACACACGCACAAACACACACAGGTAAACAGTAAACATGGAGTCATTATCTTGCAGAGCTACAAAGCATCGCAGTACTGCTCGGCTCTAATCTACTACAGTGCTCTGTGCTCTAATCTACTACAGTGCTCTGTGCTCTAATCTACTACAGTGCTCTGTGCTCTAATCTACTACAGTGCTCTGTGCTCTAATCTACTACAGTGCTCTGTGCTCTAATCTACTACAGTGCTCTGTGCTCTAATCTACTACAGTGCTCTGTGCTCTAATCTACTACAGTGCTCTGTGCTCTAATCTACAGTGCTCTAATCTACTATAGTGCTCTGTGCTCTAATCTACTATAGTGCTCTGTGCTCTAATCTACTACAGTCTCTGTGCTCTAATCTAATACAGTGCTCTGTGCTCTAATCTACTACAGTGCTCTGTGCTCTAATCTACTATAGTGCTCTGTGCTCTAATATACTACAGTGCTCTGTGCTCTAATCTACTACAGCGCTCTGTGCTCTAATCTACTACAGTGCTCTGTGCTCTAATCTACTACAGTGCTCTGTGCTCTAATCTACTATAGTGCTCTGTGCTCTAATCTACTATAGTGCTCTGTGCTCTAATCTACTACAGTCTCTGTGCTCTAATCTACTACAGTGCTCTGTGCTCTAATCTACTACAGTGTTCTAATCTACTATAGTGCTCTGTGCTCTAATCTACTACAGTGCTCTGTGATCTAATCTACTATAGTGCTCTGTGCTCTAATCTACTACAGCGCTCTGTGCTCTAATCTACTACAGTACTCTAATCTACTACACTACTCTGTGCTCTAATCTACTACAGTGCTCTGTGCTCTAATCTACTATAGTGCTCTGTGCTCTAATCTACTACAGTGCTCTGTGCTCTAATCTACTATAGTGCTCTGTGCTCTAATCTACTACAGTGCTCTGTGCTCTAATCTACTACAGCGCTCTGTGCTCTAATCTACTACAGTACTCTAATCTACTATAGTGCTCTGTGCTCTAATCTACTACAGTGCTCTGTGATCTAATCTACTACAGTGCTCTGTGCTCTAATCTACTATAGTGCTCTGTGCTCTAATCTACTACAGTGCTCTGTGCTCTAATCTACTACAGTGCTCTAATCTACTATAGTGCTCTGTGCTCTAATCTACTACAGTGCTCTGTGTTCTAATCTTCTACAGTGCTGGCCTGCAATGTGCTCTAATCTACTGTACATCTCTAGTTTGTGTGTGTGTGCATGCGTGCGAGTGTGTGTGTGTGTGTGTCATGTGTGTACATGTGTTAGTGTCCTCTACACACGCAGCATGTGAATTTGTCAGTTGAATGATAGGATCCCTGAACAGAATAAATCAGAACTGTTTTTCTACAGTATGAGTTCGCCAGTCACAACCATGGAACACACCTGACATCTAGTGGCCATGAGGAGAAATGCACTCATGTATCAAATGTTAATTCATAGTGGGACAATCATTTAAATCAAAGATCTTTATATGTCCGTGGCAGTAGGTTGTAATACACTTTATTTTAAACCAAAATAAGTCATCAAAGATCATCAAAATGAAAAACATGAACACAAAGAATAAACCGTTATAAAACCGGAACATTGCTGTAATACAACATTGGTAAGACTAGTAACATGTTAATAACGCTTTATAAACAGTTAATAAGACATGAATAAACCTGAATAAGTACCTTAGTAGCACCTCACTGATGCATAGATACATTTCTCTGGTATTGGCACCATCGTTAAGAGAAAGTGTGTACCAAACGTGGGGTCATGGTTTTGGTCAGGGTGTGGTTGATGTGGTCAGGTCTAGGGTGTGGTTAGTCTATGATTGGGATGTACAGTGAGGGAAAAAAGTATTTGATCCCCTGCTGATTTTGTACGTTTGCCCACTGACAAAAAAATGATCAGTCTATAATTTTAATTATAGGTTTATTTGAACAGTGAGAGACAGAATAACAACAAAAAAATCCAGAAAAAGGCATGTCAAAAATGTTATAAATTGATTTGCATTTTAATGAGGGAAATAAGTATTTGACCCCCTCTCAATCAGAAAGTTTCTGGCTCCCAGGTGTCTTTTATAGAGGTAACGAGCTGAGATTAGGAGCACACTCTTAAAGGGAGTGCTCCTATTCTCAGCTTGTTACCTGTATAAAAGACTCCTGTCCACAGAAGCAATCAATCAATCAGATTCCAAACTCTCCACCATGGCCAAGACCAAAGAGCTCTCCAAGGATGTCAGGGACAAGATTGTAGACCTACACAAGGCTGGAATGGGCTACAAGACCATCGCCAAGCAGCTTGGTGAGAAGGTGACAACAGTTGGTGCGATTATTCGCAAATGGAAGAAACACAAAATAACTGTCAATCTCCCTCGGCCTGGGGCTCCATGCAAGATCTCACCTCGTGGAGTTGCAATGATCATGAGAACGGTGAGGATTCAGCCCAGAACTACACGGGAGGATCTTGTCAATGATCTCAAGGCAGCTGGGACCATAGTCACCAAGAAAACAATTGGTAACACACTGCGCCGTGAAGGACTGAAATCCTGCAGCGCCCGCAAGGTCCCCCTGCTCAAGAAAGCACATATACAGGCCCGTCTGAAGTTTGCCAATGAACATCTGAATGATTCAAAGGAGAACTGGGTGAAAGTGTTGTGGTCAGATGAGACCAAAATCGAGCTTTTTGGCATCAACTCAACTCGCCGTGTTTGGAGGAGGAGGAATGATGCCTATGACCCCAAGAACACCATCCCCACCATCAAACATGGAGGTGGAAACATTATGCTTTGGGGGTGTTTTTCTGCTAAGGGGACAGGACAACTTTACCGCATCAAAGGGACGATGGACGGGGCCATGTACCATCAAATCTTGGGTGAGAACCTCCTTCCCTCAGCCAGGGCATTGAAAATGGGTCGTGGATGGGTATTCCAGCATGACAATGACCCAAAACACACGGCCAAGGCAACAAAGGAGTGGCTCAAGAAGAAGCACATTAAGGTCCTGGAGTGGCCTAGCCAGTCTCCAGACCTTAATCCCATAGACAATCTGTGGAGAGAGCTGAAAGATTGAGTTGCCAAACGTCAGCCTCGAAACCTTAATGACTTGGAGAAGATCTGCAAAGAGGAGTGGGACAAAATCCCTCCTGAGATGTGTGCAAACCTGGTGGCCAACTACAAGAAACGTCTGACCTCTGTGATTGCCAACAAGGGTTTTGCCACCAAGTACTAAGTCATGTTTTGCAGAGGGGTCAAATACTTATTTCCCTCATTAAAATGCAAATCAATTTATAACATTTTTGACATGTGTTTTTCTGGATTTTGTTGTTGTTATTCTGTCTCTCACGGTTCAAATAAACCTACCATTAAAATTATAGACTGATCATGTCTTTGTCAGTGGGCAAACGTACAAAATCAGCAGGGGATCAAATACTTTTTTCCCTCACTGTAGTTATGGTTTGGGTATATGGTTGGCCTATGATTGGGATGTAGTCAGGGTTAGCTGTTTACGGTATAGTTAGACTACGTTTGGGATCTGGTTATGGTATGGTTGTGTTCAGAGGTTAGGGATTAAGACAGTGAGTAGGTGCTGATAGGGTTATTTTTGGCCCGGGAAAGGTGGGGGGAGGATGGGGAGGGGGGATAGCGGAGGATGGGTGAGGAGGGGGAGGGATGTAGAGGGACTTGGGAGTGAGGTTTGTCCGAGTGGGGGGCTCTGGAACGACCCCTGGGTGTACGAAGCGGGGGGGAGGAGGGCTGGTGATGGGGTGAGGAAGGGGAGGCAGCACTATGGTGATGGGTGGAAGGATAATGGGAGGGGCTATGATGGGGTGAGGAGGGGGAGGAGTGGTAATTGGGTGATGCATGATGAGGGGAGACAGGCACTCTCTGAGGAGAGGTGAAACTGTGATGCCCCCCATGGGGGTGGCGATGGGGGGATGTGGGGGAGGTGTGAGAGTCATGATGAGGAGTAACGTGATTCTGAGAGACCTGTGAGTCTTTAATGGGGTTATAGTTAATGTTAGGGTTAGACTTATTGGTATAGTTCCAGGAGGTCTTATTGGAGTTACTATTGGGCAGTATGTTAGGGTCAGAGTTGTTCCTAGCTGCCGCCATGTTGTGGTTGGTGTAGTTAGTGGTGGTAGTATTACTGGTAGTAGTAGAGGGACCGGTCTCCTTCTTGTAGAGGAAGACGTTGTAGTGCAGAGGGGGGCTGGCCTCGGGGTGGAGCTTAGCCTCTTTAGGGAGGAGCAACTGAAGACCGATGGTGACTCCATCCTGCTATAAAAATATACAGGGTTGAGAGTCAGAGGAGGATAGACATTTATAGAATAGAGAGGATAGAAATAAGTTGGATAGACAGGGTAAGTGGGAAAGATAAAGAGAGAGATGGTTGAGATAGAGGGAATGAAGAAAGGAGAAATGGAGAACGAGGGTTAAGAAAGAGAACAGGTGTGCATGTGTGTGAGAGAACTGATTCAGTGGAGGCTGCTGAGGGGAGGACAGCTCATAATAATGGCTGGAATGGAGCGAATGGAATGGCATCACACCATGTGTTTGATGTATTTGATACCATTCCACTGATTCCACTCCAGCCATTACCATGAGCCCGTCCTCCCCAATTAAGGTGCCACCAATCACCTGTGAGATGATTGATTTACGATAGAGAAAGGATAGATACAAAATAAGAGAGGATAGAGAGAGAGAGAGAGAGAGAAAGTGTGTGTAATAAGGCTGTTTGTTCATCTCCACTGCACTGTTAGGTGTGTGTGTGTGTGTGTGTTTAAAGTGTTAATAAAGCCATGCACAATCAGCCACAGAAAGCTAAGAGAGAGAGAAACAGAGAGAGTGAGAGAGAGAGAGTGAGAGAGAGAGAGAGAAGAGAGAGGGGATGGGGGAGGGAGGGGGGATGGAGGGAGGAGGTGAGCGTGCTTAGGGATTTTTTTTGCGTTGTTTTTTCTTTCTGGGGTTTTGGGTTCTTTGGCTTTCGGCCGGGTTGGAGGGAGGGGTAGGCTTCTTGTCTGAGGATCGGACACGATCCGAGATTAGGCCGTTAGAGACACAACCAATAGGTCGAGGGGTAGGGCCATTCCAGGAACACACAGGGACCAGCTAATTTAAAGTTACAAAGTTTTTATTTCAATAACCCTGGTTCTGATGCTATTATGATGTGTTCTCCAAAAAAACAGTTTAAGTTCATCAAAGTGTTTTAACCCACATCAATAGAAACCATAAATATATCAATATTAGCAAGCCAGGCAACACAGCAACTTTACATGAGACCTATACATATTCACTGGATTATATCAAACATCAAAGTATCTCAACTATTTGTCTTGTAATTTCTCAACAGTTTTTCTTGTATTTCTAGTTAATCTTGTTTATAATGATTTTCCATAAATAACTGTTTTAGTAGAAAACAGCAATGCATGCAGACAAAAAAAGAAGGGTAAAGATCTGAAATGGCACCCTATTCCCAACATGGTGCACTACCTTTGACCAGAGCTCTGGCCAAAAGTAGTGCACTATAAAGGGAATAGGGTGTTATTTTTTACGCAGACTTAAGGCGGACAGTAGGAGAAGGGAGGACAGCATTAAAATGGTCAGAGTTCTAAGGTCAGAGACGAGAGCAGGGCATTGTGGGAGAGGAGAGTTTGTCCAGCCAGAAACAGTTTAGTCCAGGATTGCTAGTGATGCAGCTGGACGTCGCAAGGAAGAGGCAGCATCGCCCCCATGTGGTCAGTAGTGGTGTAACATGTTATGTACAGGGTATAGTATAGTACAGTATAGTATAATACAGTACAGTATAGTATACCGTAGTATAGTTGTGTTTAATCCTTTTATCTCCTAGTGGAGTCAAGGGCCTCAACAGGAACCCAGCTATAGTATAGTATAGTATATTTATGCAGTATTATGGTGCCCCTTATGTGAATGATTTAGTATATGTTGTTGGAGGGGGAGGAGTTTGCCTCCTCGCTATTTACCTCCTGGTCTGCGTTAGGGGTGTGGTCAGAGGAGAGGGCGGGGCAGTTGTTAACATGTTTCGGCGAATGAGAGTTGGCGATGTTCATAGATTCCTCCCCTTGAGTGAATTGAGACTTCACAGGCTCCTCCATTTTCTGAGGGTCATCCTGTGGAACAACACACACAGACAAACCCACGTTACACACACACACACATTCGTTAGACACACATGCATACACACACATACGTTACATCCAGTGTATGCTGCTGAGGGGAGGACGGCTCATAATAATGGCTGGAACGGAGCCATGTGTTTAAATGTATTTGATACCATTCTACTAATTCCGTTCCAGCCATTACCACAAGTCGGTCCTCCCCAATTAAGGTGCTACCAACCTCCTGTACTACATACACGTATGTCATACACACACAGATTGACACATACGTTACATACACATACATTGATTGTCTGATGGCAGACATATGAAGGTCGTGAGGACAGTACAGTAACTGGATCAGCTAGCATCGACCAGCCATTCATTACGAGTTAGAAAGTGTATGTGTGTGTGTGTGAGTGTATGCATGCATGCGTGTACTTGTGTATGCTTGTACATGTGTGCGTGAATGTGTGCATGTGCCTGTGTGTCAGGGGAGTTCATTTGGGTTCGCTCTAAATTCAAATTTAAATCAATGACCCTACAAATGTGTTGGGTGCCCCCCTTTCTGCCAAAGCCAATTTACCCTGTTTAAATCAATGTTGGTTTGTTATATGGAGCTGGAGATGGGGAGGCTGCTGTGTGACTGAAGCAAAGGGACCAACATGACTAACCCTAATGCTGCTAGTCGGAAACAAGGATGAGGAGGAAAAGCCTAGAAGACAAAATGGCTGCCCTACCCTTATCCACAGGGGGAGAGCAAGAAGCACTGTGGCCCGTAATGGCTGCCCTACCCCTAGGAACCACAGAGGAGATGAAGAAGCACTGTGGCCCATAATGGCTGCCTTACCCCTAGTAACCACAGAGGAGAGGAAGAAGCACTGTGGCCCGTAATGGTTGCCCAGCTGAACTGGAGGTTAGCTGGGTTACGTACAGGGTTCAGTTTCCTGCTTGGTAAGGTTAAAGCCTATCCAGCTGGGGAAACTGGCCATTGTTGTGGTTCTGCTTACCTGACGGTAAGGGTGTCTAGGCTTATACTCCCAGACGTAGCTGCTCTTCGCTTTCTGCAGGTGGAAACCACATCTTAAAGGGGAACAGTGTGTGTGTGTGTGTGTGTGTGTGTGTGTGTGTGTGTGTGTGTGTGTGTGTGTGTGTGTGTGTGTGTGTGCGTGCATGCGTGCATGTCTGACAGACTCATTCTACAGACAGACAGACTAATGGACTGAGACAGACTGACATACAGCTAGCCAGGGTTTGGGCTTAAGTTTAGGGTCAGTCAAAGGTTAGCGGTCAGGGGTTATAGGTCAGGAGTTAGTTACCTGACAGATAATGTTGTCATAGTAAGCCAGATTGTGAGCGTGGGGTTGAGGGGGGGGGGGGGGGGAGTCACACAGCTTCCTTACGTTGGCATGGGAACTGTCTTGCGCCGTGGAAACAGAGAAGCCATCCGTCTGCATCTCGCTGTGTGGACGGTATAGACTGGAGCGAGGGAAGGAGGAGAGGAGAGAGGAATAAGAGAAGAGTGGTGTTGAATGGGTAGGGGGAGTAAGGTTTTAGTCAATGAGGATTATGATTTACTAAAGGCCCCTCTTCCCCCTTTACCGTGGTACTCGGTGAAATTTTAGGTCACTTATTTAGCATACAACACCCTTTTTGCCGCCTTTTACTATGAACAATCTTTGCATATTCTGGCTCCTGTTTATCTACCTCTCCTCCTTCTCTCCTCCCTCCTCTACTCTTTTTATCCTTTCTGTCTTTCTACTCCTCCTTTTCTTATTAAACCGTCGTCGTCAATGTTCGTTGCTCTCTTCACATCATGCTCTTGACCTTCTTCTGGGACTTTTTCCTGTCTTCACATTCATTCCTAACTAGACACGACATCCTGCGCTTCTCTTCAGGGTGAGTGCGAGAAAGAGGCGAGGATGAAGAAGCGAGCGGAGCGAGGCGCGAGAGAGGCGCGAATCTTTCCAACTCCCTTTTTTACTCAGAGCCTGGACGTTCTCCTGAATCCGTACTGAGGAGGGTACGCTCTCTCTCTCTCTCTCTCCCCTCCTCTTCCTCTCATCCTGGGGTACAAAACCCTTTTTTCGAAAAGGGCCCTCCCTGAAAAAAAAATAAGGAAAAGTTATCCTTTTTTTTCCCCAAAACCCAAAGAAAAGGGATAAAATTTGGGGGGGTTTGGGGGGTTTTTTTTCCATTGAGTGATATAACTGTTAAAGGCTTTTCTATGTCCAAAATGAGTCCTCTCTGGCATTTTTTTAAAACCTCTCACGCTTTCCCCCTTTCTCCTTCTTGACTGTAAGGTTAAAAACCTGGTGTTTGAACAACTGTATATAGGTCATCATGCTATCTTAGACACACACACACAACAATGCACTGTCAGCTGCCCTCTCTTTCAGCTGATAAACCCAGTTATATGCGGCACAATGTTGGGCAGTCCTATGGGGGATTAACCAAAAAGGGAAAATAGCGAGAAGAGAGAGCGAGAGAGAGAGGATGAGAGGAGCGCAGAGGAGAGAGCGCGAGAGAGAGCGCAGCGCGTAGACGAGAGAGCAGTATCTAGCGAGAGCGAGACGAGAGAGTAGCTGGAGCGACAAATCTCTATATATGGCATCTCCTCTACTCTACTAGCTTATCCTCTCTCTCTCTATCTAGCTCTCTAATCTCTTCTTAGCCTCTCTCTCTAATGCTCTCTCTATCTCTCTACACTGGACCTGCGGTTTGCGGAAGTCGGCCTTTCTCAATCCTTGAGGCGGTGGAGTCGCTTAGCGAAGAAGACGATGATGATGATGAGTAGGATGAGGGTCAGAGAGGCCACGCCCACTACCACACAAAGTACCTGGAAGTCTGTCACCACCCAATCGCAACGAGAGCCCTTGTTCCACATATAGTCCTGGACATTACACCTAGTGAGGGGGGGGGGGGGAGAATATTTTAACCATAGAATAGACAGACAGGCAGCAGAATTCAGGAAGTATTTGTCTCTGAAACAAACTGCCTCACTATCTGACGATTGTTGTTACAAAGCAATGTACAGTTATGAGTTGATGTACAGCTACTAGTACTGTAGAAAAACAACAACGTTCTAAGTCCTCAGTAATGCTTAAAGCACATCAGGAGACCACTTTTGAGGTTTTTGATTTTTTTTTTTTGATTTCTGGGTGTAGTTACCCTTTAATTCCAATGCTCACCTAGCATGAGGCCGTTGATTAGCAGTGTTTTTGTAGTGAGATGGTAGTTTGCAAAACAAATACACACTGGATTGATGCAAATAATCATGATATCATTCTGCCAGGTAAGCATAGGCTACTTCGTAGTTAACATTTAATTGAGAAGGTTTTTGGGAAAGCCTTTCCATCTACCACTAGATTTTTCATTAGCATCATCGTTAACGGCTACACAAAGTGGTAGACACGCTCACCACACACACACAGAAGGGGAATTCTCGTTGCCTCTTCAGAAAGTTGCAGGAAATATTAAACACTGATGCATTCTGTTCATGTCTTACTATAAACTTGGGCAAATTAATACATTTTCAATACATTTAGTTGATTTCCTACTAAGTTCAATAAATTGTTGAATATTGTTCAATTCTGTTTTAATGTCTGGATTCCGTGATTCCGTCCTTGTTTTCTACATCGCAGATTTTATAGGGCCCTAGGTGTGTCTGTCCTGGGTTAGATCAGAAGTCTGTCCAGTAATGAAGAGAGAATCAACCCAGACTAGTCCTATAATAAGATCAACTGGATCAGAGAGGGTGTGTTTGTGTGTTTGACATGTAGAAGGTGAGGTTCAGGTTGGGTAAGGACATATGGATGCCCCCCCCCCCTCGGCCTCCTCGGCCTCCCCAAACACTCCTAATCCTTCAAGGACCCTGCTGAGAAGGCCTGTGGCCCCGCATGTTTGTGTATGTGTGTCAGTCGGGTGTCTAGAATTCTAATTCTATGGTCTATCTGTCCTCTATTCTGGCTTTTGTTAGAAAGACACCAGCTGTATATTGCTCTGTAGTGTACAAACCACTAAGCGTGCCGCCACCCACACCCCCAATTAACACACATGCGTACTGTAAATTGTTGTATTTCTTTCCACTGATGATTGTGAAAAATTACCTGCAGAATGCTCCTATTCCCGTAGCGATGGTACAAACTCCTCTATTGTAGCAGAAGTCAGGCTGTGCATCACACTGAGACACACACTCACCCCCGACCTCTGACCTCACAAAGCCCAGACCACACCCATCTGACCCCTGAGGAGGGGAAGGAGGAGGTGGGGATTGAGACTGAGAGGGGAATTGAGACTGAGATGGGGGCTGAGACTGAGAGGGTTGCTGGGGGTCGTCATTGTCAGGGGTAACATAGGGGACAGGGGAGCCAGTGAGCGATGGGTTTTCATCCTCCATGTCTGCTGGAGGGGTCAGGGTCGGCTCAGGGTCAAGGGTTGTATCTATTGTGGAGAGTTCGGCGTCGGGGGACAGGTAGTCGTAGAAATCTGACAGAGTCCAGGCTGTGGGGTCTCCCGCCCGCTGCTGCAGGGGCTGAGCTACAGCGGTCAGCCAATCAGAATCAGACGAGAGGTCAGGGGTCAAGGGGCGGTCGGGGTTATGGAACTCCACCTTGATGATATCATCTGAGCGTTCCTGAGATTCCCCGCCTGTTAGCTCTTCTCTGATTGGCTGATCGTCCTCTTCAGTGAAGTCCAGGTGGGAGTGTCTTCTGTGAGAGGGGTTGCGTTTGGTGGCGCTGAGAGGAAGTTCAGCCCCTAGTCCTAACCCTATGCCAATCAGCTCTGCTGAGTCATCACCGATAAGCACCGCCCTTTCTACAGCAGAGAAAGATGATTGGCTGTGCTGGACCTCCGTCCTGCTGACGGTGGCCAATGAGAGTTCTCCTGTCAAGTCAATCAGAAACAACAAACAGATCAGGACACACCCACACAAACACACACATATACAATGGCTTGCGAAAGTATTCACCCCCCTTGGCATTTTTCCTATTTTGTTGCCGTACAACCTGGAATTAAAATTGATTTTTGGGGGGTTTGTATCATTTGATTTACACAACATGCCTACCACTTTGAAGACGCAAAATATTTTTTGGTGTGAAGCACACAAGAAATAAGAAAAAAAAACAGAAAACTTGAGCGTGCATAACTATTCACCCCCCCAAAGTCAATACTTTGTAGAGCCACCTTTTGCAGCAATTACAACTGCAAGTCTCTTGGGGTATGTCTCTATAAGCTTGGCACATCTAGCCACTGGGATTTTTGCCCATTCTTCAAGGCAAAACTGCTCCAGCTCCTTCAAGTTGGATGGGTTCCACTGGTGTACAGCAATCTTTAAGTCATACCACAGATTCTCAATTGGATTGAGGTCTGGGCTTTGGCTGGGCCATTCCAATACATTTAAATGTTTCCCCTTAAACCACTCGAGTGTTGCTTTAGCAGTATGCTTAGGGTCATTGTCCTGCTGGAAGGTGAACCTCCGTCCCAGTCTCAAATCTCTGGAAGACTGAAACAGGATTCCCTCAAGAATTTCCCTGTATTTAGCACCAACCATCATTCCTTCAATTCTGACCAGTTTCCCAGTCCCTGCCGATGAAAAACATCCCCACAGCATGATGCTGCCACCACCATGGATGGTGTTCTCGGAGTGATGAGAGGTGTTGGGTTTGCGCCAGACATAGTGTTTTCCTTGATGGCCAAGAAGCTCAATTTTAATCTCATCTGACCAGAGTACCTTCTTCCATATGTTTGGGGAGTCTCCCACATGCCTTTTTGGCGAACACCAAACGTGTTTGCTTATTTTTTTCTTTAAGCAATGGCTTTTTTCTGGCCACTCTTTCATAAAGCCCAGCTCTCTGGAGTGTATGGCTTAAAGTGGTCCTATGGACAGATACTCCAATCTCTGCTGTGGAGCTTTGCAGCTCCTTCAGGGTTATTTTTGGTCTCTTTGTTGCCTCTCTGATTAATGCCCTCATTGCCTGGTCTGTGAGTTTTGGTGGGCGGCCCTCTCTTGGCAGGTTTGTTGTGGTGCCATATTCTTTCAATTTTTTAATAATGGATTTAATGGTGCTACGTGGGATGTTCAAAGTTTCAGATATTTTTGTATAACCCAACCCTGATCTGTACTTCTCCACAACTTTGTCCCTGACCTGTTTGGAGAGCTCCTTGGTCTTCATGGTGCCGCTTGCTTGGTGGTGCGCCTTGTTTAGTGGTGTTGCAGACTCTGGGGCCTTTCAGAACAGGTCTATATATACTGAGATCATGTGACAGATCATGTGAGACTTAGATTGCACACAGGTGGACTTTATTTAAGTAATTATGTGACTTCTGAAGGTAATTGGTTGCACCAGGTCATATTTAGGGGCTTCATAGCAAAGGGGGTGAATACATATGCACACACCACTTTTCCGTTATTTATTTTTTAGAATTTTTTGAAACAAGTTATTTTTCACCAATTTGGACTATTTTGTGTATGTCCATTACATGAAATCCAAATAAAAATGCATTTAAATTACAGGTTGTAATGCAACAAAATAGGAAAAACGCCAAGGGGGATGAATACTTTTACAAGGCACTGTACACAAACAGGACACAGACAACACCATTGCAATGGATCTTATTCACTTCGCAGCCATGATCATTCAAAATCCAGGCTAGTGGGAATTAAAATTAATTGAAAACTGCTCTCTCTCTCTTTCTCTCTCTATGTACTGTGAAGCAGAAGCTGTGTGTCAGTGAGGTGCTCAAATAAAGTTAATTGAAAACTTGACCTCTCTCTCTCTCTCTCTCTCTCTCTACTGTGAAGCAGAAGCTGTGTGGATTAGGAGCAGTGATGTTCTAACATGTTCTACTGACCACAGATTAAATTAGATTAGGATTACAGCTATAGGTTAAACACTGACCATGTACAAAATACTCTCAGCAATCT